CGGGAAAGTCTGTTCCTCATGGATGAAGGGTGCGAAGGTCAGTTTGCGCAGATCATCCAAGTCCTTCAACACCACTCCTATTCTATTTGCGTTATATGAGAAAGTAGCCACTGGATGCTTTGGGTCATCCAGTGCCACTTTTGGTGAGCGGCTAAGTGCCTTCAGCACATGTGCTGAGATGGCTGGGACAACATTGAGAGTTGTCACTGGGAAGTGTAAGAAAACTTCCGGATTGCGCAGAGCCGGATACTCCTCAAGCTCCGCAACAGCGGCTGGATGCAGTCTGCGTGGCTGGGGAGCAGCAGCAGAGGTGCGACCAGGGCGACGCACAACTACATCTGAGTACAAGGGCCTTCTGGGGGCAGCGGAAGCAGTAGCAGTTGCAACGGGAGCAGTAGCAGTGACGACGGCAGTAGCGGCGACGGCAGCGGGGCCAGCAGGGGCCGCAGGGACTACAGTCGACGGCGACGACGGCACTGCAGGGACGGGGGGCGCGGCAGGCGCGCGGGAGCCCTGTGGGGCGGATGACGAGGCGGAGTTTGCCATGGCGATTCTATTTTTTATTTTCCTTTTTCAAAAAATGGCGAAATAGAGCAAAGATGCCGGGTTAGCTCAATCGGTAGAGCGTGAGACTCTTAATCTCAAGGTTGCGGGTTCGACCCCCGCATTCGGCTTATTTTTACTTAATTTTTTATATAAAAATAGCTTATCTGTCGGCGGCACTAGAAACAGCAGACTGTGGCGATGTGTAGTCTACTATTTTACACAGCTGCTGGGTGCCAGGGATGACAAGCGCTGTGGCATTCCTCCTCTCCCCATTTTTTTGATGGGTCTGTGCGTCCCTCTTTTGCTGTTCTCTGGCCTCCTTTCTGAGCACTGGCGTACATGCACTGCAACTAGCTTTGCAGCAACAGGCCGATAACCAATACCAAGCTACAGAAATTGCTGGTAATTGAATAAACTGTTGTGTATCCGCAATGCTTGTCGTCTTATAGCTTTAGTCTGGTCATTTAGTGGCAACCTTATAAATAGATGACAGTTTTTATGTTTTTTTTTAGCAAATTGGTACGGACATGTGCAATGCCAATAATGGTGGCTATAGATTCTTTTTTCTTGTTTAGTCAAGCTACATTGCCTAGCATATAGCCTTGTCTGGGAGTATTGGACGTGATTTTAGGTTTACTTCTGCTTTAAACCAATTAAACAAAAATGATTGCTAATACAATACTGTGGAACACAGATTAAATATAAAATATGGATTCAATTATCTAAAAAAAAACCAGAAAAAATATTATACAAGAGTTGTATTGCAAACACTTTCCGAGAAATTGGCATGTATGCAACTTGTTGACATTATTAAGAGGTTGGCTTTTAGAACAAGAAAAAAGTAAATATAAATATATAGGGTTATGTGTAAATAAATACACACACTATGACTACATTAGAAACAACAATTTACTATATTGAACAAAAGATAACATTTAATTTACTGGTATTTTACATGAATTTGTTTATATTAAAGGCCTCGAAAGATTGGCAGCAATCAGCCTAGGTTGCAGACTTTGTGATATCAAAAAAAAAAATCGAGGTAGTCACCACTACTCTAAGCCAGAAACAAGGCTGCTTAACATATGTTTTGGCACTTCCTATAGCCAAATGGCTTCTCTGTGGGTGTGGCTTATAAAATCCATTTGTCTGTCTGTACGCCTGTCCGAGATGAGTTCCATTGATTATGATTATTTGCAGAGTCAATAAAAGGTATCTAACCATCACGTGTTTTTTGAACAGACTACTCAGCCATTTTGCCCAACTCTACTCAGTTAGTGCTATACAGTTCTGTAAAGGTTTCCGCAATTTTTATCGCAAATTCTTTAAAATAAACAATAAACTTATAAAAGAGCGTGGTACACTAATAATAAAATCCTGTTCTGAGCGGTAGGCACCAACGCTGCCATCGTGAAATAGAACAGAAAAAACATCCCCGCCTGGACCTGGCACCAGAGGTGCTGTATTTTTATATTTGAAAAAAGCGTATACAGGACCACGACGCTCTTGGGCGTTTAATTTTGGTAAGGACCACAGCAGCTCTGTTGTGCTGCAGGGCAAATAACGTGGATTTGTACTTGGCAGATCACGTGGATTTGTATGTGGCTCAGAATGTGGCTTGGTTTGCTTCTCCTGTCTGCGACATGCGTACCCAAGCCAGCAGAGGCCTGCCGCAAAAGTAAATAAAAAGGCGCGTTCTTGGAGGAGACGGCGTAAACCTTTCTCTTCTTTTTTCCTCTCCTGTTTCATCAATATGAACACACTTGAACTACTTTCTTTTTATAAAATACTCCTTCGCGATGTTCATCGTTTCTTCGGTACTTGCACGCGTTCGTCAGCTGGCTGAAACGCGTTCTTCATTGACCTTCACAAATTCAGAATACGATTCTCTTATTTCGCAACCGAAGCGTTTGGCAGTGGGACATATGGCTTCTAACGACAACAGCTATACTCTGAGGGGTATGCGTTTCGGAGGTTTCAACACGTTTAACCGTTGGGACCTATTTGAAAACAATTGGTACGCGAACCTGAAGCAAGCCGCCGAGCAGCGCCAGGCGCTGGAGAGCAAGCTTGGATATGCAAGCAATGGCGCGGTTGAGCAGAGACAGCAGTGCGAGACGCTTAAAGTTGAACTCGCAGATGCGCTTAAGACTGTGATCGAGGAAAGACAGAAGCGCGAGGAACTCGAGGCTGAGCTCCAGGATACGCTTGAGATTGCTATTGTGGAAAGACAGAAGCGCGAGAAACTCGAAGCTGGGCTCGCGGATATGGTTGAAACTGCTAACGTGGAAAGGCATAAGCGCGAGGCACTCGAAGACGAGCTCAAGGATGCGCTTGATATTGTTACTGCGGAAAGGCAGAAGCGCGAGGCACTCAAAGCTGAGCTCGTTAGTGTGCGCATAACTGCGGGCGGGGTGAAGCAGCGACTGGACGAGGATCTGCAGCGAGCCTGCCAGCGGCGCCAGATGCTGCAACTAAAGATGCATGATGCTCTCAATGCAGCAGTCGGGCCGAACGAGCAATTTGAGCAGCTCGATTTCAGGCTGATAGATGCTCTTGACGAGATCGAGGAGCTGATGCGGCGGCACTTGGCTTTGGAGATGGCAGTTAAGAATGGACACGATATAGCTGAGTATAACATCGGGGATGCACACAAGGCGATGAATGACATGCTTCAGCAGTGGGAGGGCCGCTGGGAGGCCATGCAGCGCGAATGCCTTGCTGAGAACGAAAGTCTACCTGCAGCCATCCAGCCCAAGCCGGCTGGGGCTGCTCAGCTTATGTCGCCACCATCCACTCCCCAGGACAGCAGTGGCGATGAGTTCTCAACCGACCAGTGCAACAGTAGTGTTGGCACTGGGTTTATGGTTTGAAATTAGCACCTGCATGCATGCATTAAAGAACTCGATCGCGAGCTGTAAAAGGGCGCTAGATGCGCATAGCGACTCTCAACATACAAGGTTGATGAGGGTCCTCAGCTATAAACACATTTGTATCTACTTTTTTCATTTGTACATCAGCCCTTCTGGCTGTTCTTTTTTTCCAATAGATTTTAGCATTTTTACAAAAAGTTACTGAAAACAATTAAGCTTTATGTATTTATCCGATTTTATAGTGTTTTAATGGAAATTCTTTGCTAGTCATTTCCATGTTTTATTCTTCGAAATAGAGACTATCACTAAATCTGTAAACTAGCACTTTGCCTGGTAAAAAAAATGACACAACGTCCTGTTTCAATGCAACGTTGTATTGTAAAGAAAACCCTTGCAACCTATCTAGCACATATTATGAAGTAGAATGCTTTACGTATGAAGCTTGCCTATTTATCTGACCAAAGAGTCGATAGTTCAAGCAATTCAACTAAAGACAATTATTGAATAATACACTTTCTAAGGTAGTCCTACTACTTGCGCTTTTTATTTTTATTCTTGTAAGTGGCCACCATTTTCTTTACAAAACGAAGAACTCATATGCAGCGTCGACAAGCGTTGGTACTCAGATACCTTGCTTGCAGCATCTTACGAAATGTATTCCGCGGGCGAAAAACATCCCTGTCATGAGATTAAGCATTATATGCTGGGGAGTGCCTCATTGGTAATGTCGATGGCATGTGTGATACTGATTAACTGAATCAGATCATGTAGATATATATATGTGCACACATATATATATCACTTTAGCGCCTAAGGTTTTAGAAAGGTTTCCTTAGCTTGTTGTAAGTTTAAAGATTTATATTAGTTCACTAGTAAACCTCCTATTATAGCATGGCCAATAGGCCGAACCCAACACCGAAGGTCGACGTGTGAGGCTTTTAGATTTTGTTGATGACTTTTAATATGAAGCAGTTTTTGCTTTACAACAGAAATGGGTGTGTGGTGATAACAGGTTTCCTACTCCCTTTTGTTGAAGGATATATGCGAATGCTTTTAACTTGGAGCATTAGTGAGGCGTATGCTTCCAGTTTTGCGCAAAAGAAAATAGCAGTAGATGTTAAAAGCACTGCTTTCGCTAATGCGATGTGTTTATTGACACCTGCTTGCTAATCGGATATGACCATCTGATAGTTTGAAAGGTTTTAATCAACAAATGAAATCAAATTTATTTTATGGACTTGAACCGGCGCAGTAGCCAAGTAGCGAATGCCTTGCTAATTCTTTCTTATTGACACACCAACACACACACTTTTCTAGACAGATAGACAGCATAGTCACAACAATGCCACCGAGACGGTCAAAAAAGAATGACATTCCCGTAAACAACAACACGCTGGAGAAGTTTTTCACAATACACAACACCAAGTCGCAGACACCGCGGCGGGTACAGCCAAGAGTGACAACACTTTTCAACAAGGTGAAGAGGCGAGAGGGTGGTGTTGATGACGTGGCTATGCTGGAGCACGACGCTAAGCCTAATGTAAAGGCTGCTGAGGTAGCAGGGCCGACCACAAGGGGGAGACTTAGAGCTGAAAACAGTGCAAAAACAATAGGCGATGTAGAAAGCGACAGCAGCAGCGTAGGTAGCGTCACTCAGCAAACGGAGGGATTAGAGTTGATTATGCTGTCTGATAGCGAAAGCGATAACGGGCTGGTGGATGCGTCAAGTATTCTTGGCACAACGTTTAATAGGGCTCTTCCAGCTACTCCCGTGCGAGGATCCAGGACAGGAGCTGGCAGGGTAACGGGAACGGGGTATCGTAACTCAATAAAGAGCTTAGTGCAGGCTAGCCGGCGACAAAAGTACGATGTAGAGTTTCTAGAGAAGCGAATGGAGCAGATGTCATCAGATGGCGAGGGCGTCGAGGACTCTGCGATGGAGCATAGCGATGCTGGTAGCCAGTGCGATGGAGCCGTGGGCCACGCATTGGAGACGCTACCAAAGACGGATGTGGAGCGGATTCGTTTGCAACTGGGTGTGATCGAGGGTGCGCCGCGGGGGCCAATCCACCTGTCACTATTCCATAGGCACACACAGCGTAGCACTCTTGGACAGTTGCCCTACGGCGATGGGCGGTTTGAAGATATTGAGTGGCTGGATGGCGACGTGGTCGAGAGGCTATGCAGGGCACACATTGGCGATGTGCGGTTCTTCCGGCATTTAATTGTGTCGCACTGGGTAGCAACACAGGCGC